AAATACACACACACACACACACACACACACACACACACACACACACCCCCAGGAAGTATAGACAGTCCCAAACAAGATGAACCCAAAGAGGCCCACATATCATAATTAAAATGCTAAAGATTAAAGTCAAAGAGAAATCATAAAAGCATGAAAAGAAAAGCAACTGAATACCTAAAAGAGAGATTCTGTAAGATAGTTAGCTGATTTCTGAACAGAAATTCTGTGGGTCAAAAGGGATTGGAACAAAATAATAGTCAAAGTGATTAAAAGAATGGACCTACAACCAAGATTACTCTCCCCAGCAAGTCTATAAATTAAAATTGAAGGACAGATAAAGAGTTCCCTAGACAAGAATAAACTAACGGAGGTCATCACTACCAAAGGGATATCTTTAAGAAGAAAGATCAAAAATATGAATAATAAAATGGCAATCACTATATACCTATCAACAATTACTTTTAGGTAAATGTATTAAATGCTCCAATCAAAAGACATGAGATTACTGAATGGATAAGAAAATGAGACCCTTTCATGTACTGCCTACAAGAGACTCACTTCAGATCAAAAGATACTTCATGAAAATAGAAAGCAAAAAAATATATACAACAAATAAAATCTGGGATATCAATACTTCTACCAGATGAAATAGACTTTAAAACAAAGATTATATAAAAGGAGACGAAGAAGGACCCAGTAATTCCACTTCTGGGTATTTATCTGAAGAAACTGAAAACATTAATTTGAAAAGACATATGCATATCACAGTATCATTATTTACAATAGCCAACATATAGAAGCAACCTAAGTGTCCATCAATAGATGAATAGACAAAGAAGATGTGGTACATATACACAATAAAATATTACTCAGTTATAAAAGTGAATAAAATCTTGCCATCTACAGTAACATGGATGGATATAGGGGGTACTGAGCTGAGTGAAGTAAATCAGACAAAGGCAAATACAATTTGACTTATATATGGAATGTAAAAAACAACAGAAACAAAGCAGAAGCAGTCTCATAGATACCAAGAACATTTTGAAGCTTGCCACTTTGGAGGGACAGTGGCAGTTAGGGGTGAAAAGGCAAAGGGATTGATAAGTACCAATTATTAGTTACAAAATAATCACAGGGATATAAAGTGAAGCATAAAGAATATAATAAATAATATTGTAATAATTATATATAGTGCAAGGTGGGATCACTTCATAAACTGTATATATGTTTAACCACTATGCTGTACACCTGAAACTAATATAAAATAATATTGCATATCCACTGTAATTGAAAAATAAAATATAGTAAAAATAATATAATGCAAACATCATTTCAAATGGTTCACGGAAAATTGTCAAAGCCTGGTCAAACACAAAATTTTATAAAATATAATTTATACCTAAATATTTTCAAAACTAATTTGAAGAAATTTATAAAATACTATACGCATGTGTACAAAAGGATGTAACTCTATGTCTTAGGATTTCTTGGAACTGGAAAAATGGGTTGGTAAATTATTAAAACTTGTAAAACAATAGGGAACAAAGGCAGATTAAGAGCAATATATATTATAAATATATCATGTTAAGAGTGTTTTAAATTTGGTATGAGTTAGGGGGCCATTTTAATTTAAGATACTTGTTTTTAAGATAGCATTATGTTTTCAGTATTTGGCAGTAAGTATTAAATGTCAATGTTAAGTATTAACTGTTAGTAAGTTATACAGCTTTTCTAGAAGTTTTAAAATGAAATAGAGTTTAGAAAATTCAGAAAATACAGAAAAGCTGATTACATATTTCCTGCCACCTAGAAAGATCCGGTTCTGTGTTTGTTAACCTTATCTGCACAGTTAACGGAATAGCTTAAAGTAATAATGATTTGTGAGTCCCAAGCCATAGAGATTTCAAATTGGTTTGGAGTGCATCCTGGACATGTGGACACTTCAAAAGTCGCTGCAGGTGATTCTAGTACGCTGGCAAGATTTGGAACCACTTTTGCAGTCGGAGCTATGATGAAATATACTTTAACAAAAATGTGAGTGGATATTCAGGGCTTAATTTCTTTAAAACCGAACACAATTTCAGATTTTACAATGGAAATTGTTGAGGCAGAAATAGAGAAGGTAATTTAAACAGCATGGATGAATGTAAAAATGCTATGTTCAGTAAAATGTGAGAGAAAAAGACTGCATAATTCAGTTTATGTAACTCTTCAGAATAGAAAATATGTGTTGGAAAATAAATAGAAGTAATGGTAACGGGGAAGGATTGACTGGATAAGAGCATGAAATAATGTAGCACGGATTTTAAAAGATTCTCTATCCCGCTTGGCTGTAACAGTGGTGGATAGGTACGTGAAAATTAATCAAACTGCAGTTAACGTTTATGCATTTCACTCTAAGTATATAATGTGAAAGTAAATGAAGAGCACGGAAATAAGAACAAGAAAGGCCATTTATTTAGAGGTTTATAGTAAGTTTGTGTTTGGGAGAGGGGTGGAAAGCTTTACAATGGTAAAAAAGGAAAGTGGGATATCCTCTGTGATCGGTTAGAGTTGCACATTTGGCTTAATGTGGTTGGTTCTAAAGTAGAAACGGACAAAAATTAGGAAGTTGTTGGTTACTAATCACGTATAAGCGTTTTAGTGTTCATTTTTACAGGTATTATTGTTTAGTTTCCCGGGTTGTTTGGTAGGAAACACGTTCTGCGTTCTAAACAGCAGGCGGCCTTGGGCTGGTTGTGTCTCAAAGAAAGAAACCCACGCCCCTTTTTTCACTACACGCAGATTCGTCGCTGTGTTCTTGCTATAGGGTCCGTAGGGAAACGGCGCCAATGCGGAGAAAAAGAACCGCGACAGCGTGTTCCTGCGGAGCAGAGCAAAGGGACTTCCGCCGTCGCCATGATCCCTCTTTCGCTGGTTGTGGTGGTAGTGGTTTGCTGGACTGCGGTCTATTTAACCGATTTGCTGCTGAAGGTGAGTGTGTCAGGTCCGAACACCAAAAAATGCGCAGGACAAGGCCCTGTGTTTTCGGAGGCATTCTGTAACCCTTCTGCCTTGCTTGCTCGGCCAGCATTGCAGCCTTCGGAACCTGGCCTAGGAAGGGTAAGGGAAAATAAAACTTTCCTGTAGGAACAGGTCACAACTTTTTACGAACGCTGAGATTGCAGTCAATAAAATCACGTTGTAACTTAGAGTAATTGTCTCAAGCTTTAATGTGCGTAAAATAATCTTCCAGTTAAATGCAGATTCTGATTTAGCAGACCTGCGTTGATGTCTCAGATGCCCTATTTCTAATAAACTCTCAGGTGTTTCTCATTCCGGTACCACACTAAATAGAAACGTGACAACCCTTTTTTCTTTTATAAACTATATTGACATATAACACACATAGCATTCAGCTGTTTTACCATAACGAAGTTAAGTGTTTTGTTTTGTTTTGTTTTGCTTTCATTATTTCCCTCTTTTGTCAAAAGAAAGTCCCCCTCAATTTGTAGTCTTTTGGAATTGTAGACCCTGAGAAAGAAAAATATCTACTGATGGCTAGCAGCTTATTTTTTTTCTTCTTCTTCTTTCAGTGATCTTTGATGGTAGTTATGTCTCATGGAATTGGCCTATATTATCTAAGTTATCAAATTTATTGTCATGAAGTTGTTCATAATAGTCCCTTATTATTCTTTGGGTATTTATAGAGTCTGTAATGGTACCATTGCTCTCATCTGTTATTTTTATTTTTTTTTTTCTTTTCCTTCTAATAAGTCCAGGTAGAGGTTTATCAATTTTATTGATCTCAAAGAATCAGATTTTAATTGTATTGATTATCCTTGATTGTTTTTCTGTTTTATTGATTTCTCCTTTATTATTTTCTTTTGTTTACTATGGATTTAATTTGCTCTTCTTTTCTCTTTTGCTTAAGGTAAGCTGAAAACATAGACTTCAGATCTGTTTTAATGTTACTTATCCTTCTTTAGTACTGTATACCCCCTTAACCTCCATCTACTGCTTTAACAGTATTTCTAAATACTAATAAAGTGTAGTTACATTTTTATTCAGTTCCAAAAATCTTTGTAATTCTCTTTTGATTTCTTCTTTTACCCATGGATGAGTAGAATAAGATATACATGCTCTATTGTGATTAAATTACTAACCTTTAGTCATTGATACCATTTTGTATTATCTGGTTTACCCCACTGTAATCATTGGAGACCTTAAAAGAACTGTGGTCAGAGAAACATAACAATGACCTAAGAAAAATAGAAAGAGATGCAGCATTGCTGCTTTGGAATATAGTGGAGGAAATTTATTAGCCAAGGAAATATTGATGAACTGTACAAACTGGAAAAGGCAAGGAATTAGATTCTTTCCTAAGCTTCCAGATGAAACACAGCCCTGCTGATACCTTGATTTTAGCCTAGTAAGAGCCGTATTAGACATCTGATGTACAAAACTATAGAATAATAAATCAGGGTTTTTAAGCCACTAATTTTGTGGTAATTTGTTTTGGTATAGAAAAGCATAGGAAGTCTAGAAAACTGTAGTATAGTACAAACCTAAAATATCACTGCTAACATTCAGATTAATTTTCTAGTAATTAAAAAAATGGGATATCAAAATCAAAAACTCTAAATGTTAATCTCTGTTTCTCCTTGTAGTTCTGTCAGCTATTGCTTTTTTAATTTTTTGGAGAGAAGCATGTTTTTGATTTTGCATTTAAGTAGCATCCCACCAAATCTCAGAGAATATAAAGACTTTAAATAATTAAAGCAAGCCTAATTTCTTGGGGGTAATTATTTAGTAAGAAAATAGCACAGACTCCAAGTAGCTATTTTTGTAAGTTGGGAACATATCTCTTCTGATACCTTGTTTGGGGGGTCTTTGTAAACCATAATATCAGACTCCTTTTTCCTCTAGGCTTCTGGAGTAAATGTAGACAAGCTAGTCTAAGACCCTTACATATTTAGCCTAGTGGCCTTGATACTGATGAGAAATCTTTAAAATCATCGTTCTGGGCAGCTAGTATAATTATGTGTAGAAAATAACTTGTGTTTCCTTTTCTTAAACAGTGCAAATTATTCTTCAAAATTGAGTAATGTGGAACTTTTCTTTCTTAGTCATCTGTGTATTTTAAGCATTCGTATGAAGAATGGCTGGAAAACAATGGATTAAGCATCTCTCCTTTTCACATAAGATGGCAAACTGCTCTTTTCAATAATGCCTTTTACAGTTGGGGACGGCGGAAAGCAAGGATGCTTTACCAGTGGTATTACTTTTTTCTTTTTGGTTTAAGTTTTTCATTGTGATTTTGAGAAATAGCTTGTTAAATTAGGTATTTCAATCATTTTTACTTGTTTCAAAATTTACTTCTAGTATACAGAGAGAAGGAAGGACTTGGCTAAATTTCTTTTTGTTCAGCAGCTCCAAATGGAGTAAAAATAAATAAAAACAGAGTATCAGAAAATGCCATAGAAAATCAAAGCAAAGGAGATAGAAATAAAGAGATAATAAAGATAAGGCAGAAATAATTAAAATATAAAACAGATGTACAGTAGAGAAAACCACTAAAGCCCAAGTAGGTTCTTTGAAAAGATTAATTAAATTAAACTTTCTAGTGTGAATGATCAAGAAGAAAAGAAAAGTAACCAAAAAATCAACAGTGAAAAAGGTGACATTTCTTCAGTTTCTGTAGATGTTAAAGATAATAAAGCTAATATGAACTGCCTTTTACTTTGAAAAATTAGGTGACATTAATAAGTTTATTGAGAAACAAGACTTATCTGAAAGGTTATATGAAACCACAGAAGGATAACTTTCAATTATTAAATCAGTAAAGGAAATTATCACACTTTAATGTTAATAAACTCTTTTGTCCTCAAAGGTAAAAAAAAAAAAGAATATAATAAGTAAAATGATATCATGTTGACAGAGCCTTTGTAAATATTTAAGAACTAAATGAAAAGATCAATATGTAAATTAAAAAAAGACATGAGAATAAACCTAAATAGTGTGTTTTTAATTGGAAACAATATTCAGCCTCTTTAGTTACTATAGAATCATAAATTGCTGATATTATTTAAATAGATCAGTGCAAACTTTATAGTGAAGTATCTGAAGTTCAGGTGGGTGGAAGAAGCAGAATTATTGAAATTCTTGCCAGAATCTTGAGGCTATACAGTACAGCTGATGTATTTCTTAGTATTCAAATAATGAGAAGTTGTACATTTATGTAATTTTACTTTTGACAGGTTCAACTTTGGAATGGTATTTGGAGTAATTGCCATGTTTAGTTCTTTTTTCCTCCTTGGAAAAACACTAGTGCATACTTTGGCACAAATGGTGCCTGGCTCCCCCTCTTCTTTGTCTTCCTCTTCTGTTCACAGTGAGCAGGTTCTCCAAGTTGTGGTAAGTGTCCTTTAAAAGGAAAAGTTTAGGTTTAGATTAAAATGGTAGCATGTTTGGTGTAACTCATTTGTAATAAAAATATGAAAATAATCTTTCAAATTATATGCCCTGAGTTAAAAATTAGTAGGAATATAGTGAGAATTACTAAAAATTGTTAACCCATTAAGTAACTGTAGAAGAAATGGACCATTATTCAGAATGATAACAATATAGACAATTTAATTCATCCTGTCTTCTCGAGATGTTAAACAAAACTATAGACAAATAGCCCTACTTACTTAAACTTTAAAATACATGTTTACTTTTACCTCATTAAATCACATTTCCAGAGTTTTGGATATGTTCTATCACTGGCTAAATTTTAATTTGTGTTAACATTTATATCTCGCACTTGCATGAGTCATAGATATTATGTTTTTATATTAGTTGTTAATATAAGGTACCATTAAGGATTAGTAACAGACTTTTTAAAACTCCTCTGTTGTGGTCTCCATTCAGCTAGGTCATCATGAGGCTATTAAAAGTCAGCCGAAAAAATTATAATTTCTCTTGTAAGAGCTCTTATAAGCTAAAAAATTGACTGTGAAAGTCCTTAGATTATGTTGTGCTACTGTTAACAAAAGTAATGTTTGTCACAATTTTGATCTGTGTATGGGAGATGTATAGTTGTAGGAAAGTTAAGTGTGATGGCAAGAGAAATGAATAGTACAAGAAATAAGGAATATATTCCAAAGTACCATTCCAGGAAATTTTGACTTTACCTGAATATAACAGATTGTTCAGAGTGGGCCAAAGTAAGGTTAGACCAAAGACCGTTTAAAATGATAGTTGGACTAATTCATGTTATAAGCCATAAAAATGTAAACTAAATTAGTTCAAAAAGAATGAAGTGAGTGTATTCAGGTTGATTTTATTGGAGTGGAGCTCTCAGACCGTGGTGATTAATCAAATGTGAAGTAGAAGAAGAAAGTAGAGTTTAGAATGATGCTCAGTTTATATGAGTGAAATTTGTTTTTCAACAAAGAGCGTACAAGTGAAAGAAGCAGACTTGAAGGTAATATGTCTGCTCTGCCTGTCATCAAGGACTAGGATGACAAATGTTCTGTGTTTAGAGAAGAAATTATTTCTGTTTGCAGCTCATATGTTGGCTCTATTAAGAGAGCTGTGCTTTGTAAACATTAAGAAACTAGCTATACTCTGTGTTCTACTATGCATATTTATGTATAAGTTAAGAATCTTATATCTCCTGAATTTGATTATGATTTTGTATCTTGGAGGACATAATTTCTTTTTACTCTATAATTACGTACAGGTTTGTTCAAAGTTAATTCCCTAAAACTGGTGGTATTATTGAATGTTCACAGGTCAGTGTTCAAATACATATAATATCCTGTGTAATCATGGCAAAGTCAGATGGACAATCAAATACCATTGCCATTAAACAAGACCAGCTGTTTGTATAGTTACATACATTCTATGTAGTTACACAAATACTAATATTGTGTCCATATATCCGTATCTTCATTCCATGTACAAAATAATAGAATATCAGTGACCTAATATAGCAAAGTTATAGATTTATTTGAAATTATTTATCAAAACACTTTGTAATATAGTGGGAATATATGAAAATTAATCTTAATTTAGTGAATAGTTACAGAAGGAATCTGTTGAGTTGAACGGACTCCTAACAACATGTATATGTATTAAATGGAAGATTGATGTTCTTCAAAGCTATTTAGTAAGGTCAGATGATTTAAGACAATGAGCATCACAAAAAAACTTAATATTCAATCTTGCACTTCCACACCTGGAACTGATGCTTAAATAAAATACCTCCACATATAATAAAAGTGTTCATTAATTTCTTTACCGTGATACTATTTATTATTATGAAAAGTTAGAAGTAAACAAAAAAAACAGCATGTTTGAGGAATAGTTAAAATATATGGTTTTCACTTAGTGTAACATTATGCATACATTAAAAATAATTATAAAAATTAGTGTCATAACTAGGGAAAAGACATTTGCAATTGATGAAATTTAGAAAGGGATTCGGGCAGCATTGCATGATTTTGGCCTTCAGTTGTTAAATGAGGGCAAATGAAAACTTCTGTTGTACACAAAATAAATACCAATTGAACTAAAAATAAAACATGAAATCGTTACTCAGCTGTAAGAAAAGATGAAATACCATTTGTAACAACATGGATGGACCTTGAGATGATCATGCTAAGCCAAAAAAGAAAGAAAAAATTGAGAACCATATGATTTCACTCTTTTTACATGAGAGTAACAAGAGAAACAGACTCATAGACACAGACAACAGCTTAGTGATCACCAGAGAGAAAGTGGGAGGGACAGGTAGAGAGTGGTAGAGAGGGTCAAATATATGATGACAGAAGGAGATTTAACTTTGGAAAATACATATGCATATTATTGAATTGTACATCTGAAACCTATATAATTAACAATGTTACCCCAATAATTTTAAGAAAAAGAAAAAATAAAGTCCAGACCTCCAAGCTGAATGTTCTGTAATTTAAAAGTAGTATAAATAGCAATGATTCAGATTTTCCTTTTCTACCTTATAATAATTTAAAGGAGAGAAAAGGAACTTTAATAGTTCCAAAATCAGACTTCCATCCTTTAAGGGTAGATCAGTTGCCAACTCCTTTCACGTCATTGTGTATTCCCTGGCATTTTGACAGCCTGCCTAATTCTTTTCCATGGTGAAGACTTCAGTAAGGTACATTCTCATTTTTACTCTGTTGTTTGTTTTCTCTTTAGATTGGTGGTGTGTTGTTAAAGAGAAACTACCTAGTTTATAAAACTGACTAGTGTTTTTGCTTTATTCTGGAGAAAAGGAAAGCTGGATCATTTCTGCTTATAATACTTTTACAGAACATTTCAACTTGTAGGTTTAAACTTTTTTTTTTTTTACTTTTTATTAAAATTATTGGGTGACATTTATTAATAAAATTACATAGCTTTCAAGTGTACAGTTAATAATACATCATATGTGTGTTGTACAGTGTGTTCACCACCCAAAGTTTAAATCTTCTACTGCTATGTATTTGACCCCCTTAAAGTTTACAATAGAGTAAATATCCTTGTCTTAGCTCCCAAATGTGTATATATCATTGTGTCTACCAACAGGTTCCTGGTATAAATTTACCTGTCAACCAACTGACCTATTTCTTTGCTGCAGTCCTCATTAGTGGTGTTGTACATGAAATTGGACATGGGATAGCAGCTATTAGGTAATGATATATACCTTTTTCTTTCTACTACATGCAAAGAAGTCTTTCATTTATAAGGGTTTATCACTAAAATCTCTCACCTTTGGTATTTTAGTATTTTTTATTTCTGTGGAAATTGCACAGTATAAATCAACTATTGGTACTTGGAGGTGGCTTATCTTTTATATAAAAGAATAATATGAGTATTAATATGCTTATTTAACCACATGAATATCTATAATCTGGGACTTTCATAATTAAGTTTTTCTGCTGCTACAAGGTTTTTCATCTAATCCTTAAACCTGATTCTTCTAATCATCTCTGGGTCAGAATGATAACCACTGCACTCAAAGCTTACCCATGACTTATCACTTGAGATATTTTTGTGCTTTTCTTTGTGTCCTGTGCTAGCTAGAACAAGGAAATCGAAAGTGCTGGATGTGTTAATAAATATCATAGCTTGTATAGAAACGCCTGTGAAAGTAAAAAAATGAAAAGTGGGATTTACTTTAAATATCACATCTTGTTGGGCTTGTGAACCTAAATTTACCATTCAGTTATACCTAAGTATTAGTCTACTCAACTTCTAAAATAGTGATTTTGGAAAGATAATTACTGCCATAATGACCAAGTATAATTATAGAAATGTGTTTTATGCTTTGGATGTATGGGCCAAATAAAAGGTTAAGAATCAATGTTTTAGCAGAGAAGGTTTAATCAGAACAAAAGATTATTAACTAGCTATAAACCATGATTTTGATAGAGCATATACTATTACACAGATGTACACAGCAATTGTTTAAGTGGACATGGATTTTTCTTTTTCACAGTTGTTTTAACACATTTAGCTTTATGGCCTTTAGGATTTTACATATAGAAGCATTATTATTAATAGTTTAATCACTCTAAGTCTACTTGTGAAAGATTTTAAATAATTTAAGTTAAAATCATAACTGCCAGGAAAAAGTTATTTTGCAGTAGTCTTTCCTTGGATATTCAGAACTAAGTGACTGTAAAACATATTAAAGTGATTTGGAGAGATTGGTGGTACTAAATATACACACTATTTTTATACTTACCCAAGACAATACTTTAATTTCCTCACTTTACACCTGATGTTAGGCACTTTTTGTTTCTTCATAGAATGGTTTCTTCTGGCTTTTTGTTTTTTTCCCCTCAGTGCTGGTTTTATAAGAAATGTGTCCTTAACCTTGTTTTCTTCTCATCTATAAATCATTTCTAGCAAATTGCATTCACTTACCTTGCATGTATGGATCAACAAATTCTAATTATATATTTCTACCTCAGGGCTTTCTTCTGAATTTCATATCATGCATAAAACATAACATCTCGCTATATACATACATATAGAACAAAACTAACCCATACAAAACTGAACTCATCTTTGCCTTCCCACCACTAGTATTGGCTTCCTATTTCTTTCCATTTTTTATTAGATGTCATTATTTGCCTAACAGAAATCTTCAAGTTATCCATGACTTTGTTCTCTTTCTCTATGTCATTTTGTATTTCAAATATAATATCAAGTCATTTAGTTTCTAAATTCTATACACTCTTGAATCTGTCAATTTTTCTCTTTATTTATTACTTTTACACTTTTGGTCTATTAACTCTCATCTATCTTGTTTTAAAGAATTAAATTTCACAGATACCCAAATCTACTTTAAACACTAATCCATTTTCCATTTAGAAAAAGAAAATGCAGCTTGCTACCAGCATTCATTTAATTTTACATAAACACAGTCTTTGTGCCTCAAGCAAATATGACTGGTTTTCAATGTGGAAATAAAATATAAAAACTGTTCTCGGAGTTATTTCTAAACAGAACTTGTCTCTATTCCTGATGTAACAGAAATGTGTCCATAAATTAGATTCATCAGATGAATCTTTGGCTGACAACATAATACGTAGGAATGCTATCTTTCCTAGGGTTTGACATTTTCAGCAATTGGGAATTACTATATTTTGTTAATGGAAATATCACTACTGAAAACAGAATTCTAGAAATAGTATCATGCTTTCTGTTTCCCAAGATATTGGTATACTAGAGCAATGAGAAAATAAGAAAAGTGAGATATTTTGTGGCAAACTTTTGGGGTAAAGTTAAGATTGTAATCCATGAGTTATCTCCAGATAAACACAGCTGCAAGTCTCACCAGCAGGTACTCTAAGGGCAAATGGGAAATGGGTTAAAAGTGATATATATGTGTAAAAATGATCTAATTTGGTTTTGGTTTGGATTACCTAGAGAAATTTTGATTTTTTTAAAAATTGAATTACAACGATAAGTCTTGATGTTGTGTAGCATTAGTTGACAGATGCAATTGCATTAGTAAAATTTTTTCTTATGTGATATCTCAGGGAACAAGTTCGATTTAATGGCTTTGGGATTTTTCTCTTCATTATTTATCCTGGAGCATTTGTTGATCTGTTCACTACTCATTTGCAAGTTATATCACCAGTCCAGCAGCTAAGAATATTTTGTGCAGGTAACAGACTTTAAGATTATTTTTTAACGTTTATGTGTATGTTGATAATGGTGTTATGGAGAGTATGGTCACAGCAAATGAAAACTGCTTGATTTTTGCTTGATAATTATTTTATAAGACTTCATATTTTAAAAAAAAAAAAAACTGAATTAAAACATTTATTCAACTTAACCAGCCAGAATATAGTGAACATAATTAATGACCTGAAATATCATGGAATTTATATCAAATAAAGGAAAAACACCAAAAGCCATTCTAGGTATGAGTCAAAATAAGTGAGGAAAAATGAATCAGGAATGAAGATTGTATAGTATGCAAGGATAGATAGGTAAGTCTTTCTATAGTTGTGACTTGTACAGAGTAGCAGAAATATTAAAAGAGAAAAATACACATCTAAATACATATGCTGTATACATACACACATTTTAGGGATTTCAACTCATACAATTTTTGCAGCTGCTTAAAGGTTATTGCTTCTATGTTTCTTGCTAAAACCTAAAATCCACATTGCACGCACCTAGGAAGAAAGTTAGTCTTTAATTTTTGTAATAAGGGTATTCTCTAAGAGAATTGAGAAGTTACTGCCAATTGGAGAAACTACACAGATATCTGGACCAGAAGTTGGAGAAGTTAAAGGAAGATCTGGCAGGATTTGAAGAACCATGGGTTTAACTGCTTACGAGCTCCTTACCCAGTGACCCAGTAGATAAGCAACAATTATGTGTATATACAACAATATGTTGTGCCCTGTAGTTTCTAAAGCTACATAGATAGCAACTATTTCATATCCATCTTTACATTTGTTCAAAATGTCTGTTATGCCAATGCTAATCCAAATCTATGCAGAGAATACAGTTCTGGATTATTTTAGTTTAGCGATGTTGACAAGACAGATGCATCCTATTCCTGTATCTGTTCATCCCCCCCACACTTTACAGATACAATAAAAATGCAAAAATTTGTAGTTGGATCAGAATATCTTATATCTAAATAATATGATTATTAAAAAAATTTTATTAAAAGTAGGAATAGCTGGATACTTCCTAATGATAGAACACTTAGAAGCATTTTTCTAAGATCCAAATGACCATGCCCATAAAGAACAAATTATTACTGATATTAAGTAGTAGTCTAGAAATACTTGTTCAATTACATTAAGAAATATTAGTTCAATGAAAGGAAATTATAGAAGCATAAATATTACAAAGGAATATGGATTTTTATATCCATGATTATATATTTGAGGGCCATAAAATTAAATTGACCAGAAATTTAAAATGTAATGAAGAGGCTGATTACAAATTAATATTTGTAAAACTAATTCATCTATATAAAAATCATAATTGCAAAATATGAAAGAAAAAATTAGCAATAAAAATAACATAGCAAACAATAAATAAATGAAAGGTAGCTTGCAATGGTCAGACAACCCCATTGACTGGTTCTTGATGAGATTGTGACATCACATGAAAAATATTCATTAAGTGTTAATTATGAGTTTGATTAATCCTCCTTTTTTTTCAAAATGTTTTTCAGTACTACCAGTAAAATGGTTTAACACAGTCCTCAACTTGACCAGTGGAGTAGGTTTATATGGTAAAAAAGGTGACCACAATAAAAATTGTAACAAGGATCCCACAGATATATTTGTAAAGAGATTATTAATGGAAAAGAGGGTTTTTTTGGTTGAAGGAAATATGTGTGCTCTACCACTCTCAATCACTGAACCTTCATAGGTACAGCTTAAATATAGAGGAGTTACCTTTTGTAAACAAATGCCTCACAGCAGAAAAAGGAAACTGCCCAGAAAATCAAGGGTCAATATAGTTTCTTCATGGCTATTATTTCAATAAAAAAGCCATGGTATGAGGAAATGTCATCCTGTAGAGGGAAAGAAATTGAGAGAACAAGCATTTGAGCAGTTCTAAAAAGATAGAAAATCTTAGCAAATAAAAAATGTGAAGAAGAACTAAATGGAAATTTTAGGTAAGAAAATACAACACTCAAAAAGTGTTGAACTGACTGCATTTGATCTTTGTTATATTTTCCTGAATGGTGGTTGTCCTAAAATTCTGAGAATATTTATGGTAATTTACTGGTCTTTTTTATATTGTTTTTAATAAAGGTGTGAAAGTAGAGGGAAAATTGAGTGTGATGTATAATTTTGAAGTAGGAAGGCATGGTATGGGGTAATAATTTAGGAAAATATTGCTAAATTGGACCACACCAAAACTTAAGTATCTGTAATTAAAACCATCATCCAAACCAACCAGCAAACCAAAGAGAATGATTACATAACTATTACAAAGAACTACTTTCTTAATTATTACTAAATTTATTGGGATGACATGGGTTGATAACATAAGTTTCAGGGGTACAGGTCTATAATACGTTCACATACCTCTAATGAAAAAAGAAAGTCACCATACATTTCACCTCCCTGTCCTTATCTATCTACCTTTATGTACCTCCCCCAGTCTGCTTACCTTCTGGAAGCCACTAAACTGTTGTCTGTGTCTATAAGTTTCTTTGTTTATTTTGGTTGTTAATTTGTTGCTTTTTTGTCTTCTATCCTATATATGAGTTTCTCCAATGCATAAAGACTCATATTAAACGATAATTAAGAGATGCTCCAATAGAGTGGAAAGAAGCGGGCAATTCACCCACAAAAGAAATACAAATAGCTTTTAAACAAACATGGAAATTGTATAAGATCACACATAAATAAATAAATGGAAATCAAAACAATAGGATTTCACTTCTTAGTACAGGTCAATAAAGATTTAAGTTTAGTAGCATTTACTGTTATCTAGAGGCTATGGAAATGGACATATTTTATGCTGCTAGTAGGAACATAAGTTCATATAAACTCTTTAGACAGCAATTTGTCACATCTAACAAACATTTCTTTCACCTGAGCTACAATCAAATAACACAGAATTCACCTGTTAGAGTGTACAATTCATTGGTTTTAGAATCTATACAACATTGTACAACTATCATCTGTATTCCATAACATTTCATTTCTTCATGAAGAAACCATATGCACATTGGCAGTGATTCCATATTCCCATCCACTGGCAACCTTTAATCTTTCTGTCTGCATAGATTTATCTAGTCTGTATATTTAATGTAAAAATATAATACAACCTTTTGTGTCTAGCGTTTTTTTATTTAGTACAATGAAGTTCATCCACATTATAGTATGTATCAGTACTTTATCTTTTATGTAGGTGAATAATGTTCTGTTGTATAGCTATACCAAATCTGCTTTATGTGTTCATGTATTAATGGACATTTAAGTTGTTTTTACTATTTTGTTATTGTGAGTAGTGCTGCTATGAACATGTGTACATGTATTTGTTTAAACATCTGTTTTCAGTACTTCTAGTTGTATATCTGAGAATGAAATTCCTGCATCTTATGGATCAGGATGCATAAGATCCAATCATTTTTTGACCCAGTCATTCTATTTCTAGATAATTTCAACATTCTGACAGCTCTGTAGTCATTTAGAAGTATATGAATATAAACAGAGCTATTAATTGCCCTGTTATGAAAGTTAAAAAATGACAAAGTGATTCTTAGTAGGGAACATGGCAAATGGGTTCATGTATTTATCAAATGTATTACTTTTTTTTGTAGCTGACTAAAGAAGTGGGATATATATGAGTGTACAGTTAGGACAATGTCCAAAATAATGTAAGTGGAAAAGCAACTAATGAAATCTAAAAATTTCATTCATTTTTTAAAAATGTATCTCTATAATAGAAAAGATTCCTTTTCCTACTGTGTTCTGGTCCAGACCTGCTCTGGATTTTGAACTCAAACATAGTAAATCACAATTAAAGCAATGTGGAAGAAAATTTTATATCAAAAAAAGTATTACCTAGGATCTCACTTTGGCTGTTATAACAAAAGTTAAAGATCACACTGGCTTAAACTTTCAGTAGACATTACAAATGTAAGTAGTTCAGTGCTGAATACATTTTTATGATTTAGGGACTCAGACTCTTTCTGTCTTGTTACATCAGCTACTCCCAATATACAGCTTTTATGTCATGAACTCAAGCCCAGCTCCACTTCCTATCATTATAGCTACATTCTTGCTAAAAGAAAAGAGATACCCTCATCACTTATACTCACTTCCTGTGACCACAATTCAGTATTATTGTCATGCTCAAGTTCATGATGTCTGAGAAATATCTTTAGGTTAAATTTTTAACATTATAGTAGAATGATTCTCAAAAAGTTATGCTATCATTCTCCTCGGGATGTTTCCATGTGTGGAGTGAAGATATTCATTGTTGTCTGAAAAACTGGAGAGTACTAATGGCATTTAATGGCAGGGAACCGGAATCATTAATATGTAGAAAGGGAGAGACCTGTTCAATAAAGAACTGCCCTACCTAAACTGCTGGTCATTCACCCCCATGCCACCAGTCCCCACTGACCAGTATGAGAAACTAGTAGAATAAGGAAAGACTAGCTATTAGAAGGATTTAGGTAACCAACTCTACCCATACGCCATAAAATTTTAAGAAATAAATTAGTGGATAAACTATCAAATTATGTCTTTGAAACTCCTGGTTTATATCTTTGTGTCTGTGTGTATCTTTGTGTACCTACGTAAATAATTAAGCATCACAGGCAAACACTACATGCTACTCACCACAATAAATCATCCTTCAGTTATTAGAATTTTTCTGTTATTAATTTTTAATACATAATATTTAAACTAGTTTAAAAATATTTCTGTATTAATGCTTCCTGTTTCATACCCTTGAATAAATAATATCTGTATGTAAATTACTCTATGTATGCAGTGGATTATGGGACTGGTAGTTGGAGAAGATAGTTTGAGAATTATTGCATTTATTTTTATAATTTGTATAGTCTTTATTTTTTTACAATGGGCATTTTATTTTATATTATGGTAAAGGTGTAATAAATGGGATATTTTCCCCCCGGTGTTGGTATGTTCTGTCCAAAACTGAGAT